TGCTATTGAAGCAAATCTTGAAGGCTTGACATTAAGTTCTGTTGGTCTAACATCACGGTCAATTGATATGCTTTGTCAAGGATTACCAAAATGTGTTCATTTGAATCTGTTGGTAAATTGAACGAAGAAAAAAAATTGCAATCAATGTGATACTCTTTTTTTCTTTTCTCCGCTCCGTAGGATTTATCATGGAATAAAATAAATAAGCAAAGTTTTGAAATATTAGTTGATACAATTAATCATTTACCATTGTTGATTTACTTATCTTTGTCTAATTGTGGTATTCGAGATTCATATGGTCGACCGATTGGTGAAATATGTCGCCATAAAAGATTAATGGATATTAATTTAACTGGAAATGAATTTGAAGAAATGGCATGTATATTTATTGGAAATGCACTGAGTAAATATGAGAAACAAGTATCATGTTCCATGAAATAATAAATATTGTTTTGTATTTTAGCAGACAATATGAGTTTAAAAGATTTAAATATAAGTTGGAATTTTATTCGAAGTTATGCTACCATTGCTTTATTACGAGGATTTGAAGTAACGATTTCCATTTTTTCATGTCAATAAAATTTCAGTTTTATTTTTCAAGACGAATAGAACTCTGACAAATTTTGACATATCATGGAGTAACCTTGGCTACGATGGAAGTGTTGCTCTTCGTCGAGTGCTAATTGCAAACACTGGATACGGAGTATTATAGTTGGTACTTTTGTACTTTTTTACTTGAAAATCTCAAGTACAAAGTACATTTTTGTAGTACAAGTAATTTTACTTTTACTTTCAAAGTGTACTCAAGTACGAATACTCAGTACGAATTTACTTAAGTAGCGGTACTTAGTACCAATGTACTTGAATGTCGTTGCTGATTGGTTATATTGATTTTTCAGGACTGACTTGGGGCATAGACAGTGTATACTTAGTACAGTGTATAGTACTTTTGTACTTTTTTCTTAGAAAATTGAGAGCACAAAGTAATTTTTGCAGTAGAATTGAAATTACTTGAATTCCAAAGTTTATTCAAAAATAAATTACGGTCTGAAAAATCCTCTTGGCATTTGGCTAATACTCGAATTCGGATAAGACAAATTTGTCTCTGTTAGTAATTCGCCGGTATTTTTTAACTCGCAAACAAGTATCTCACTATTGTTGCATAGAATTTTTCTCTCGCATTTAGTTTGCCCTTAAATGGCATGTTATTCTGCAGCATGATATTTTTTCTGTATAGACATACACAAAAGAAGTGTTAGGATTGCTTCTTTGTGAATTCAGTTGATAGACAATGAGCACTCGTAAATCACTATATTCACTCACGCTTCCGAAAGGATCTTTTTATTTTGCCTGCAAAAATGAATTACACTATAGCAGATGAGCTGAAATGTGATTTATCGTTGGTCGCATCCTCTTTGAAAATGTGATGCCTACCGATATAATTGTTAATTAGAAAGCATTCAATAATTTGAAAATAAACACAAAAATGAAGAGTAAATGTTTGATTCCAAATAGCATCTAATAAAATTGATAAAAACCAATGAAATGATTTATAATATAGCGAACATTAATTCGAAACATACTTTTCACTGAAGCTCTTGTTCAATTATATTTTAACATTCTAATGATGTACCGAGATAAGCATGTAGAAAATTGACTCGACATGTGTAAGTTAGTGAACCTCTCGATAGCTTCAGTTTTACGATCCCAGTGGTCTTTTTCTATTCGTGATTATTATTATCATACTTAAAATTGCATCGTACCAATTAATTATCGGAAATAAAATCCTTCAATAATTCTAATTATCATTAATCGTTTAATTTCGATTACAAACGTTCTCAGATGATCAAAACAAAAGATGTTAAAACTCAAATTATTGTAATTACTTGAATGATGTACTTAGTACCGGTACTAAGTACAGCTGTACTTAAGTAAATCGTACTCAAGTAAAGTCCGAGGTACATGTGTTAAGTAAAAAACACTCGTACTTTTACTTGCTGTACTTTTACTTGTCCAGTGTCTGTTTACAGTCATAAAAAAATGAGTCTAAACGAATTTTGAGTGCATCGATGGAGATGTAATATTTTCTCCTTTGTGATCTGAAAGAGAACTCAAGTAGTTATTAAAAGCATTATATTCATACATTGTGGTGTCTAAACTACGTACGCAAATAGCTTTTGCACTCCTTCATATATTCACAAAGCAACAAAGGATTCCAAAAGTGTAGCTCTTCAAGCCTCGTAAGAAAAGTCAATCATATTCAAGACTCTTCGAATCTGATTTACAATGGAAATTATTTCTACTAAATATTGAACTTTAAGTTCTGAATCAATACTTGCCTACTTTGTTTTTCGAAAAGATTCCAATAATTTTAAGAATACACTTTTAATAATAGAAAAAGTATGTTTTCATCCTGCTAATGATCAGGTACATTTCTGAATTCGGTTTCGATGACATTTCATTTGACATCAAAGTCAGTGCTATGTCTGAGTTTGAAGTGTATTCCTCTATGAAAATCTTATTTTGTATCTATCTAATACTTTGTTATAAATTAAAATGCATTTAATAAACTTGAACAACAATTCAATGAATCCATTTCTAATGATCATATCCATATTCCTATAAAAGAACATCTGTAAATACAATTTAATCTAAAAGAATCTCCTAGAACACCAATTTTCTGCATATTTCATTTACTTGTTGAAGAATTCTAAGAGATACGATGAGAAAATCTTCTCATGAGATTGATTGATTGCAATCAGAATAAATCGTGAACCATGAAAATATACATGGAATTTTCAAATAAAATCAATACGTGCATCCTGAATAATATATAATAGCCATTCCAATTTTTCCATCGAACGATATTTTAGTTATATAGTCATTGAAATAATGCGAGAAAATATTTTTGCATGTACTTCACCTAACTCGATTAGTTTATTGAAAGACTCTAAAAAAAAATGCTTTCTAGACTTCATACAATGACAAAAGAATTTATCTTGGTTATAAACAGAAATATAGACAAAAAGTGTATAATTTTACAATGGAAGAATAATGAGTATCTTCATTTACGAATCGGTGAACAATGAGCACCAACATTTTAAGGGGAAAAAGTCATGAAATGAAGTGTTTTTAAAAAAAACTTCAAATATCTATGCTTATAATATTGTGAAGTCTAAAGGTGTACCGCTTTCTCTATCCTAGATCCACCAAGTAGCAAACCCACTAATCATATCCGGAACCGAAAATCTCTGAGGACTTATTTTGCAAATATCAACGATTATTTTTCAGTAATCAAAGAAGCAAGAAATACAAGAATTTTGACATAAAATTGAAAATTTCTCCGACTCAGACATAGTCTGATTTCAGAGTCCCATGAAACCTGATAACATCCATTTCGCACCCACACATTCATCTCTATTACAGAATAGTTTTACTAAGAAACATTAACGGAAAACTCTGAACTATTGGGCAAATTATAAAAGAAAGGATTCAATAGGACATCTTGCAACAGAATCCTCAATAGCATTAATTATTCATTCTCGTAGTCTATGGAAGTTATTGTAAATGTTTTTTTTTTGTAGATATAAACGTTTTCCATTAGTATAATATTTTACTCATTACCTATTCCATATCATTTGCTTGCTAATAAGATATTAGCAAACCATTTACATTTGTAATTCACTTGCATTTAAATTTATATTTGAACTGATTTTTTCTGAGCATAATTTAACAACCATGCAGTATTTTCGTAAGGCTGTGGGACTCTCAATGTTTAGTTCTCAAGAAACAAGAATACATATAGTATTGATGCAATATAACAAGAATCATATACATTTTTCCTTCTCTTTTTATGTCCGAGTAGTATACACTCCTTGTTCTTAAAAATAACACGTATAGGTGACAACCCACATTGTAAATTGAGTGAGAACGTTTTCTTCCAGCATGTTCACATGATGTGGCTATTGTTACTAATTACAGGAATAATTTTCCATATCTGTTTTGAGATACATTCGAGGGGGAAAATTTCATTCGAATAGGTGGGCATTATTCAAAGTAGGGAAGTGTAGTTCCTATAACTATACGAATGCTTCTTTTTATATTTAACCCTTGATTGTATGAGTAACACATGGATACTTGATTTAATATATATAAAGGGTGCATCCCTAGCCTTAATTATGGTAATTGGAATGTGTCTCAATGTTGTTTATAAGGAAGAAGTCTAAGGCTACTGCGGAAATTAGTGATCAAACTGACATGATTAAAAAATCAGATAAGAAAAGGACAATCGATACATACTAACTACCTGATTATAGATTGTTCCAAGTCAAAGTTTTTTAACATTTCCAAATCGATTATTGTGTAGATTTTCTTGTTTCATTTCTAATGGTATTGTCAACATCATACTCATTATTGATTCATCAAGATGACGTTCTATGAAAATAAAAAAAGTAAATTTTATACTATTTTAACAATACTTGCCATTTTTTCTATCGAATTTTATTCAAAACAAATTAGATTCAAAACAAATTTGTTTATTTTATGTGTTTCTCTCGTTGAATATGCGTATATGTAACATAACTTTTTCTAATATCTTTAGTGTCGGTGTGGGTATAAAGGAGATTGAACACCACACCCCACAAGTTATATCAAATCAAAAAAGTATTTGATCATCTTTATCTTAATCGATTTTGACTAACGATGAAGTCATTTTAAATTTATTTCATTTGAATAAATGATAAATATTCATAGAAGAATTTACTCGATCTGATTTGATTTCGTAAAAGCATTCAATTACTTTACTAAAGTTTGTTTATCAATATGAAACACACGAGTAGAACCATGATAACATGATGCTGCCTTTTTAAATTTTATTTTAAATAAAAATAGAAAGTGTCCTTTTTTCCTACGGTTCATCTTTTTTCTTCGTAAACATTTACTGAAAGAATCAGTGCTTGATGACGTTCAAAATATTTTAATTTATTTGTATCATCATTTTGATTAAGCATCCCCATTTTAAAATATCTATAAAGAAAAAAAAGCCATGAAAAGTGTAAAAGAAATCGAAGAAAGTTATATTTACTTAGTTTCAAACAAAAGAAAAGAATTTGACAAACAAAATGCTGATATTGGTTGAATAAAATGTGCAAGACTTGGAAAAACATCACTATGTGGATATGAACGAACCTCGAGTTCGTTTCGATTTGTTCCAACCAAAAATATGATAATTCTTTAAAGATTCTCATTAAGAACAGTTTTTTAAAGATTTAGTCAAAAGCTCACATGAGCAGCCAAACAAAAACGTTGATCAGCTCAATCAGGGTGGCCAGATCTTCTGAGAACTAGGGAAAATTTCTGAATTTTGAACATGTTTCTGATTTTTTTCTGATCTTCTGATTTTTTTCTGATCTTCTGATTTTTTTCTGAATTTGGAACATATTGAGATCGTTGCTTTGCCACTGAGAGTAGGTACGATTATAACCCATTACTATAATAAATCAATATTGTTTCATCAATTTTCTCTATTAATCATCTTTTAGATTCCTCGTTCTAATTCTGGGGTCGAATTGATCTTCGGTCATATAAAGCATTTATAGTCCGATTATCGTAATCCGATAATAAAAAACCAGGTAATGCTTAACTTAAAATAAAAATGAATGGTAATTACTCTTGAGACGGTTTTTATTAGCATATGTTATCTTAAGCAAACCT